ATATTTGCTTTCTAGAATATTTGCTTTTGAAAAACTCTTTCTCGCAAGTTTTGGATAAAATAAGTCGGAGAAAATAGCAAAAAAAAACTTATGAAGCAGAAAAAAAATTGACACTTATCAACTACGAATATTCAAAGTCGCCGAACACCGAAAATGAATCAGATGTTTGTTATCTATATGTAACAAATATTGCCTCATGTTCGATCTTTTTTGCTATCAATGAGCTCAACATAGATGCTAAGTTTTTGTAAAGTATATTCACATCGATTGTTGAAGTATTTACTCTAGAGCTTGTCTGACAAACAAGTGTCTGTTATTCATCTTAAAAGAAATAAATCTGTGAATTGATTTTTTACACGTACAGGATAACAAATAAAGAGAATAAATTCTCACAAAGAGAGCGGGTCAAAATATTTGTAGCAATGGATCTAGAAATATTTAGATTTTGCTTAGAAAGAAAAAGCTGCATTACATTTTTGAGGAAATGGTGTTTTTTTTCTCTTTTAAACTTGGAAAACCTTCCTCACTAAATAGCTCTCTATATGTTCCATTCTAGTTCAAGTTTTTTTCTTCTTCCATTTTCGTGAATTTCTTCGAGTGAACTGTTTTTTCCAGTAGTGCTGCTGCAGTCTACGAGTAGATTCTGCACCCTTGTCATCAACTACCAAACTTATAACAAATAAAATGTAAAAAGAAAAAAACCTATCATATATGTCAAAACCATTATGGTAGCGAATAATTGAAACATAATTTGACAAAATGTTGCAGACTAAATAAAAGTTAAATGAGCCTTGGGAATCATTTTTGTTTTTTGTTGTCGCTAGATTAATGTGTCATCATTCTACACTGTTCATTTTAAATTATTCGTTGAAAAATAATAATGTTTTCTTTTTCGTGAAAATATTCGAGAAAAATCATCATTAAAAGAGCAGATATATTATTATTAAAAAAACTCTCCATTATCCGTTATATGACGAAGCTATATGCTTGAACTACTTTTTCTTGTATTAGCTTAAGTATACAAGTTAATATCGATTATAAAATCATAAATGAAATATATTGGAATATTTAAATTTAGAAAAACATTTTATTTAACTGTTTTCAAATTTTGCCATTCCAACGGTCAAATCATCAAAGTTAAACTCTATCTATTTATCATCTTTACAAAATTCATATATTACACTAATGAACTAGTCTTTTTTTATTCTTTAAAAAATCGTTCTATGAATTAAAAATTTTTGTATGTCAATGAATTATAGATACGAATCGAATAGATATAGCTGCAGCAGATACTATATTATAGATAAATGCAGCATAATAACCATTAATGATTCCACACTATCCGAAGAAGTTCACTGCTTTCTTTTTCTATCGTTCTTCTTCTTTTTTGAGATGATATAATGAATAGAAAAAAAAAATTAGACGAGTTGATATCATTAACATATCTTTTCTAAATGTCTTTGTTTTACATATAAAGATAAATCGATAATCCACTTCATTTTTCATTTTATTTCACCGTCCATATTACTCATAGACTGCTTATTGTAGAATATATAATGGCATACTATCTATCAATTGCTCTATCATTTCATACTTTCTTTATACATAATAAACTGTACCACGCAACTATTGTCATCTTTTATTCTCTTCATTTATACAAATGGATACACATACACATTTAGAAGATTTGTCAAATGAAATTTTCTTTGAAATATTTGATTATTTACATGCACTTGATATTTTTACTGCTTTTGCTTCATTGAATAAACGAATTTTGTCTATTCTACAATCAATTCGATTTCATATTATGATCTTAAACAGTCATTATGATCGAGAAATTAATTTTCTTTCTTCTCATCTTACTTTTCATGCTCATCAAGTTATATCACTAAAATGTTATGATACAATTCATGATCGTTCAGCTATTATTAGTTTACTATTTAATCGACATCATTTTGTTAATCTTCAATCATGTATATTTATGTTGGATAATTCATCAACTGAACTTGAAAATGTTATTAAACAAGTTGAAAGTTTGAATAGACTTGTTTCATTTTTTATCATACAACCAGATTATAAAAAAATCAATGAGAAAGACAAATGTGATATAACTCGAACTATATTGATGAACAAGTCATCTTCTCTTCGTTCAATTAAGCTTCATTATGATTATGATTACTTGGACATATCAACTTATACTTCAAATGCTTCGAATCTTATATCATTTGAATTGTTAATATCTGGCTTACCGAATAAAGTATCAGTTTATTCAATTTTGCCAATTCTTCGTGTTTGTCATAGAATACGATATCTACATGTCATAATAAAACATGAAATGCTAGTTCAAAATAGTAATTTAAAGTAAGTTACAATGAAAATATCCGACGAGTATTCTTTATAAAATAAGATTAACAATATAATCTTACCATATTTTTTAGTGTTTCACTGCAAGAACCATGTATTAATGAAAATGATCTTCCTATATCACTACAAGTGACATCCTTCGATTTATCAATTTTTGCGAAATGTAGCATTCGTTCAATCGCTTATATCTTACGTTGTATGCCTAATCTTATTCATTTTAAGTTTCTTCATGAGACACGAACAGTAACTCCGTCATTTGCTGATGATTTGGTCAATGGTTATACATGGCAACATATGTTTGAAATGCATACTCCATTTTTATCTAAATTTGATTTTCATATCTCAATAGAGAAAACGTGTCCAAAATTAGATTTAGATATGGTCGTAAATTCATTTGAATATTTCGTTAAAAAATATCCCAAATGGTATATGATTATTGATCGATGGGCAACTGATGTCAAAGATTCACGTAAGTAAAATATGCTTTAAATACGAAAGAAAGAATACAGAAAACTCGGCGTCAAATAGAAATGCAATCAGGAGATGAATTTCAGTCTATATGCTGTTTTTATATTATTACAGGCAATGTAGAAAAATTAAAAAAATTACCCAGAAGATGAAAACAACTTCAAGTTGAGTCTCTAGTGGAGAGGCTATAGTACGATTCCTAGCTCAGTAGGATTGCGCATTGATGAGATACTTACCAATATTAAAAATAAAAATTGCTTTTTTGTCATGTATTCCACATTTCTCTGTCAGTGATTATCTTAAACAATAATTTGCTTTCTTGTTCCACAGAAATCACTTGTCTGAAGGCGTTGACAGCTTGGTTTTTTTTTATTGTTACATCTTATATAAAAAAAAAAGAGGTCAGAAGTTCAACTAGTCAACAAAAAGTCAGTAAAAATGGAAGTCTTTTTTATGAACGTGCTTTCAAGTATGTGAAAAATATTATTTAAATCCAAGAAGTGCCTGTGGCAATTAAACATGCCCTTTCAAACAAAAGGAAAATTTTAATTGATTAAAATCAAATTCCCTCGGCAATTCTAGATTGATGGATAGACAAATAGGCAAAAAACATATTTTTATTTGTAACCACCATATATTTGACTAGGTATGAGAAAAGGATTGCTTTTCTTTACAACAATGGGGGAAAAAAATATTGAAAATCAATCATAAAAATAATGGATCAACCAACTATCAGATTGATTGTCAAATTCCAGTGTCTCAGGCTTTACAATTGTCTACCTATCTTAATAGAGCATTCCTTGGGAAAAATTGACTTTGGTAGAACAAGAAAAGGAATATTCATAAAATATGAAAAGCAACGCACAGACAACCAATTATTAGATAATGAAGACTCAATTCGCCTACGAGAATCTGTTTATTCTGAAACTAAATTTTTTTAACATAGAGTTTTTGCTTTTCTTATAGAAGAGATTGTTATGTTACGCACATTTGGTTATCAGAAATATAAAAGAAACGTACATGTAACCATTCCAATGATTAGTTATGAATCATTTGAGACAAGATCAACAAACGCAACAACAAATGATCATTATCTTTATTATTCAGACACAAAATATTTAAAATTGAGCATAGAACAGAAAACACCAAGAATTACTTCTTCTGTTCCTTTATTTCAACATATCAAATATCTCGTCATATATTATTGCCCAAAATTATATGTATCATGGTTGAACAATTCATTCAAATTTGGTAAGAAGAATAGATATTTCTTTTAATTATATAGTTCAGTTGATGAAAATGAATTTGTCATTTTATTTCAACTGAATATTTTCGATTTTTATATATAGACAAATTTGATTTGATTATTCTTCCTGTCGTTTTTGTTCATTATCTTGTTTTTTAGTGAATTCTGTTCAATCAAATGATAATGATGATTCACAGCAATGTGTTACTTCTCTTCCACATATTATTCATTTACCGAATGTAAATCAAATTTACTTTGAGCCATATATTAATGTAGGTCAAGGGAAAGATTTTCAATTTATTCTACAGTAAGTATACTTGATATTGATTGAAAGTCATTTTTATTTTCCTATTTCGATTTCTAAATCTATGAGTTATTTTTGATAATTCTAATATGTTTTTCTCAATGAATTATTTCATTTTATGTTAGATACATGACATTGAATTCTATAGTATAATAATTATTGGCAATGAATATAAATATATTAAGTATATTTTATTTTTATGTTTTAGAGCATGTCCAAATGTGATTGATCTTCAAATGACTCCTACAGATTTGGTTTTATCAAAATTCATCGATAATCGATCTCTTTTTTCAATTTTCAAACAAATTAAAATACTCAAAGCAGTGATGCGATGTGATTATGTTCCTTCAAATTTTCTATCGAAACTTGTTCAACGTTTTCCATCACTTACTGATATTGAACTTCAAGTATATTCATTCGATGATTGTATATATGCTATTGATATATTGCTTAGTCATCTAAAAAATTTGTCTTATCTTAAAATTTATTATATTAAAGATTCAGGAGTCGATCATCCTTGTTCACGTAATTATATTATTGATAAACGTCGTCAAGCATTTGGTTTTAATATTATTGATGAACATAAGATTAATATTATCAAGAATAAAGAATCTGTAGAAATTAGATTATCATAATTTTATATGTATATAGATTTATTTTTGTTTAAATAAAGTTGAAATGAAAATATTTTTTTTTTAAGTCATTTTTATTTCATTTGATAAGGATTATTTCTCCTTTTTTTTGTATTGTATAATTGTAAACCTTAGGTGAATATGCAGGTAAAGGAACGGGGATATTTTGCATTGTTATCGACCCCCCCCCCCCCTCCCGATAGAAAACATCATCAGTTGTTCATGAAACTTCCAGCAATCGTAGCACTCATAGTCAGTAGTAATTCCTATAAATTTCAGCTTGATTGGTTAATCTTTTGCCTTATTTTTGGTGACACGCCAGATAAGCCCCTAAGTGACCTACATTAGTGATCTTGTGTACCTTCGATCTCTGCTATATGATTCAGAACCAGAGCTATTTTTTCAAGACGAATATCAATTATTAAGAGCTTCAAAAGTGCCCGAACAAGTGGCTGCAATAAATCTGCCTTGAATGTTTTATGAATCATATACCATCCTGAATATACCTTATAATAGCATATAGAGGACCTTGTATACCTTTCATCTCCACTATATGATTCAGAACTAGAGCCAATTTTTCAGGATCAATACCAATTATTAAGAACTTCAAAAGTGCCCGAACAAGTGCTTGTAATAAAACTGTCTTTAATGTTTTATGAATCGTATAGCATCCCGAATATGCCTTATAATAGCATATATAGGAGCTTGCGTACCTTTGATCGCCACTATATGATTCAAGATCAGGACCATTTTTTCTGCATTAATACTAATCATTAAGAACTACGAAACTACCACAATATGTAATTGCAGAACAACACTATTGTCAGCATCTTGTAAGAAATATTTTGTAGCGTAGATTTTACTTGAAAAGGCCGAAGATAATAGCATCATATACTTAGAAGTTATCGATGACTTGGATTAAGAATATGATATGTAACATTTCAAAGCTCTATTTTGTTGATTTAGAATGCAGAAAAAGCAGTGTAGGGAAACTGTAGGAAACTATTTCGATAATGCCTTTGAATAAACAAACGCCAGATATGGATATTGACGTTCTGCTGAGAGAATGAGAAAAAACAAGAAATCAATAGTTTTTTGCTGATTGATGCTGAAGAGTATTCCAATACATGACATACTGGCTTTTCTCAGGAACTGCATATGTGTGTTGTTGGACATTATTCTTTTCTAAACAAAGTTATTAGTCCTGTATGCATTTTATTTGATTTTGGATAATCCGAATGTTCAACGTACAGGATGTATAGAACTAAAGGGAAATACATGTAGGAATATCCACTATCAACAACGAGAAACTGCTTCTTGATCATAAAACCCAATCGAAATATCGGTGAATATTTCGACAAACTTTACGTTGCAGGATACAAAAAAAAAGCTTATCCTACACATTTCTAACGTTGGCTTTTACTCTCTACTTTAAGATACTTTAATATGTTTTAAGATAATTTGAAGTATAAAAATTATCATATTTCCATCTTAAAGAAATTTCGAAAAACATTTTGATTCTTATCTGTTTAGCCATTAAATATTGATATTGTATTCTGATAAAGAATTCAATGAAACAAACAAAAGTTTTAAAAGATTAGCTGATAAAACTTCTAAAGATCGTAATTGAAAGTGGGAAATTTCCAAGTTTACAGTAAGAAGTTAAGTGTTATATGATTATATGTCTATAGTTGGAATTTTTGTTTTTGTCAATGTTTTTTTTTTTTATTTGATAGGACATCATTTAGTAAAATGTAAATAAAAAGGACACAACGAAACTCATGAATTTCTTATCTTTACTTATTTATTTTCTATTTTTTTACCATGTTGAAAACAATATTACTTTGTTCGGAAGAAGAAGAAACACACACTATTATACTATAAAAAGGACCCACACAGGCTCATTTCATTCGATTACAGTTTCTAGCTCTATAAATCATTTTTCACAGTTAAGAAACAAGTAGATCTTTCTTCTGTTACATTAAAATTCCAAACGAACACTAGATTTTGTCTAGATTTCAAATATGCAAATCTTCGTCAAAACACTCACAGGCAAAACAATTACACTTGAAGTAGGTTTCAATTTTAATTCATCACGGAATATTATTTAATTTTATTTATATTAGGTTGAAGGTACGGATACAGTTGAAAATGTCAAGGCTAAAATACAAGAGAAGGAAGGCATTCCACCAGACCAACAACGTTTGATTTTTGCTGGAAAACAACTTGAAGATGGTCGAACTCTTTCGGATTACAACATCCAAAAAGAGTCAACACTTCATTTAGTTCTTCGTCTTCGTGGTGGTCAATAAGTATTACAAAAAAAAAGAAGCACACTTCTTAAACAAAGTTCATCAACATCATCGAATTTTGTTTTAAATTTTTTTTTTGAAATACTTATGAATGGTTGCGAAAGTAGTTGTTTTTTTTTCAAAACTATTTGAAGTGTAACAAATATCATATTATATAATACATATATATAATTTTGATGATATGATCAGATGATTATTGACTTCATCGAAATAAGAATTATAGTAATTGAGAATCTGAGTTTCACTTTATATTGAACTAATATATGCCAATGTCTCTAACTGACAGCATAAACATCTCCATTGTTAGTAACATTCAGAATATCATCCATTCAAACTATTTCAATTCCATAAAATATATTTTCATCTTGACCATTAGCTGGCTATGTGTTTCACACCCACATTCTCAAGAAGATTTACCAAGGATTTCAGATCTTTGTTTAGTAAAAAAAATTCTGAAAAATAAAAGGATCTTCTATTACGTTCAGCAGGTTAAATCCTACGAAAAGAAGGATGGGAAATTCTATTAAAATGAGAGAATCTTCCATGGGAAGGGGAATTTATTAGAGAAAGTGACAGATGTTATTGATTGGGATTAACTAATGTTACAGTAGCTATTTCGTGTATCACATTATAATTCCGCAGGAATTGCGCCAACAGCTTTTTGTTTGAATTGAAAAAGTCTGTTTTATGAAGCAGGAACTTTGTAAAATTTCAATATGCCTTGTTTTTGTCTGCTATTACCTATTACTGTCCCAACGAGAAGGTATTCATGATTACGAACGAAGCGTAAACGAATAGGAACATTTTCAATCGCTTGAACTTGATCTGTTCGCATTAATATGATCCTTTCATCATGTAGATTTGTCGATATAGTGTGACACCGATTCTGCTCATCGATAACTAACCACTTATCCTGATCGAATGGTACCTGTATTCTGTGATGCAACGATAATGAATCATTTGGCATACGAATTCGTTTTATCAAAGTCATCTGACCATCATGTTTTCTTAAGTCAACAAACTCCACACGATCATTCCACTTAATATTCATCGCTAGATAAGAACCATCATAGCTACATGTTATCAACCGTATTTCATCTCGTTCACCATAATCCAAGTCTTGCTTAGACCATCCTCGCACCATCTTCCATGAATTAGTGTTTACTAATTCAATTCGACGATAACCACGGTTGAGAAATAAATAATCACGTAAATTAGGTGATGTTGTAATGAAACGAAGTAATTCTACAGCTTTATTACATCGATTCATTGTGTCATATTTCAAAGAATAAACTCGAATCGACTTAATATGGATCAAATCATCAAATTCCATTTGCGATGTCTTCCGATTTAATTTTAACGATAAAGTATGTAATCCGTACCTGTATAAAATTAAGAAACTCTCCAGAAATGAACACCAATGAATGCACGTCGCAAAATTGCTGTGTTCAAGTTCACCCCATGGACGTTCATCTATTTGTTTTTTATGATCAAATAGTTTTAACTTGTCTTTTTCTTTCATTAAAATAACGTTATATTTATCGCAAACATCGAAAATTCCATATTGGATCTCATCCGTTGATAACCGAATCTGTTTTTCGCAAGGTGTGCACAAGGCTTTTTCTATCAAAATACAGTCATCATTGTTGTCATGACATTGTTCTAAAACAAAAGAGATAGATGTAGAGGAGAGCATCAATGGACGTGAGTGTGGAGGAAAATCATATCAATACCAACACCCATTTTTTCGTGTCATTGTTAGGGTAAAAGACTGTACCTTTTGAGATATTCACATTATCAGCTAACTCGATTTTATCAGTCTTGAATGGATTTTGGTGCGTATCATCTTCCGCGAGTTGTTGAATAACAATTGTTTCATTACGCTGCATATTCTTATCATGTATTCCGAAGCTGTTTAAGCGTTGCTGAAGACTAGTGAGCTGATTCTCGATGCCTTCATTTTTTTGACTTATTTTCGAAAAATGTTGTTGACAACTGTCAAGCCTCTCTGTAAGTTCTTGATTGTTTGACTCCACTAAGTAGCAGCGTTCTTCCAAGTCTTTAGCAAGCTGATCGAGATCCGAACTCTTAGGTTGTATTTCTCGAGAATGTTGCTCGAAATTGTCAATTTGTTGCGGCACATCTTGATTCATAGTCTTGCTAGGATACGATCGCTGTTCAACCTTGGTGATACGTGATTCCAGTTCTCGATTCTGTGATGCCAATCGTTCATACTGCTGCTGAAGACTCTGAACCTGTGATTTAAGATCTTGATTTTCAGATTTCATTGACTTGAACTCCGCACACATGCGATCGAAATGTGCTTCAAGCTCTTTGTTCTTTGATTTCAATTCATGCAAGAGTTGCGACGAATCGTTTTGCAGTGATTCAAGGTCCTGATCTTTGGTTTCAGTTCGGATCCCATGTCGAGCAAGAGAGGAATTTGATTCATGAGATAATCTTCGTTTTCGAGAAGAATAACTCGATATTCTGCTAGAATGTCCATCGCCTGATTCCATTGATCTGCGTTTAAATTGCTCTCTTGAGAATGTATTCCACTATAACAAAAACAAAAGTTATTCATACTTATTCTTGTTAAAAATCCCTTCAACTTTCTTTATGAGTTGCAGTTTTAGATGCGAACCTAATATCAAAAATTTATCTACAGTTGTTTGTTAACCTGCAAAATCTAGAAACATCTTATGGTGAAAAAGAGTAATTTTGCGCAAGTAGTACTGAGAAAATCATAATTCTGTTGAGTTACAAAAACATATCTGGTGATCGAAATGCATGCAAGTTAACGTGAAATAATTGACAGAATGAATATGCCTCTTAGAAAAACATACGAATGCTTTTAGGCATGTGAGACTTTTTTTTCGTTCTCTTTCAGTGTTGTTTTTGTCTGATATGTTTATGAGACGCAGAATTTATATTTCTTTCATTTTCAACAGCTCTTATCTAGAAAGTAAGAAACCTTATCAGCATATTTGATTTCACAACTAATCAAGAACTGAAACGAAAATAACATACTTACTCGTCTCAGAATCGCGGAAAATTCGGTTAACTTCTTAAAGAAAAAGTAAACCATATCAAATAACAGTGCATAGCTTATCATAAAGATATCGCATTAGCATTAGCGTAAATTACTTAGAGATGTCGTTAGTCACTTTTTTAGGGCTACATCGGCGTGTCCCTACAAGAGAAACACCCACGGGTGTGGGTGTGGGTGTGGAAATAGATGTAAACACTACCCACATTCACACCCACACCCGCACCTAACATTCAACCAATTGAATTAAGGAGAAAAAGATACTGTTAGAACATACAAATTCGGTAGGCAAAGCAGTTGTAATGAATCGAAGATTCGAAGAGTAAAAGGACTCGAATGGCAAATGCTTGCAAGAACACAAAACTGAGTGGTTGAGTGCGAACGGATTTTGAAGAACAACACCTGCAAGTGCACATAAAACATCGTAGATAAGGACGGAAGGGCTCTGAGCTAATAGAGGATCTGCAAACACACCAGAAACTATGAGTGACAAGCCAAAGGAGTGTTAAATAGTTAAATTATTGAAATGTTCAAAGATCAAAATCGAATTAGCGAGTACTACACTATGAATTAAAAAATAGAGTAAATACTATTAAGATTGATCTTATCTCAAAATATATTACGTCAGTTGGAATTCGTCTTATAGATAATTAAATTTTCTATGTTTCAGTCTTTCTACATAGGAACAAATCATTGTCTCATTAAAGACTAATAGTAACACGACAAGTTTGTTTCAATAAATGAGGGCGATTAGCATCACAAATCGTGTATCAATCGATTCTGGTTGTACAACATCTAGTTCTGATCCATTGGTCTATCGTGTTGCAACAACAGCTGACTGTGACTTATTAGTTACGTTAATAAACAGTAGTTATCGTGGTGAGTTAGCGTATCAAGGTTGGACTAACGAAAATGAGATAGCTTATGGACCAAGAACAACTACACAAGCGGTATTAAATAAGATTGTCGATGATAAATACGTCGTTTTAGTATTTTTCGGTAAAAGTGATCATATTCTGAAAGGATGTATTTATTTGGAACACAAACCAGAATCTAAAACTGCATGGTTAAGTACTTTTGCTGTGCGTCCAGATTTCCAAAGGCAAGGTTATGGAAAATTAATTTTATCTGTGGCTGAGAATTATGCTGTGAATAACTGGAACGTTGAATATATTGAATTAAATGTTATGATTCAAAGATCTGAATTAGTGGCATTTTACAATCGTCGTGGTTATATTGACACTGGCCATCATCAGACATTTTCATTAGAACAATTGAAATCTGGCGGAGCATTACGATACGATTTGGAACGGTGTACTATGCGCAAGTGCGTGAAAAATAATGAAAATAAAACAAGCTGAATGTATTTAAAGAATATATTATCAGGTTTTTTTTTGTTGAATCAATAGTGAACTTATCTATAGGAGGTAACTAAATGTTTGCAATTTTGACTAGAGGGTGTAGGTGGATGTAGGTGTCGGTGTGGTGTGTGAATGTGGGCGTGGATGTTGTATGTGTGGGTGTGAGTGCAGGTATCAGTGTCGATGTGATTGTAGGTGACTGAGAATAGAAAATCCATACCCACATCCGCATCCACAGCCTCACTCATGTCCTACAAGCTGTATTATCTACAGCTGCGGATTAGCTTGTACCTCTAAGGGTCATAGGATACTTATTTATTTCTCATATGCTACTTTTCATCCTCACACAGTGCCGGGAATGATAGAAATTACATGCGTGTCAAGGCAAGTGTGGGTTTCGAAGAAAGCTAGCTGCATGCATCGGTTTCTTTGCTCTTTTATCAGAGGCATCGTACATGTGTAGGATGGAGGCGAAGGCGACAAACTATCTAAAATGCAATGTTCTACATGCTTCTGTTGGGGCTTAGCTAGGAGCGTAATGCTGACCGAGTTTCATGAGAAAGAGAACAGATGCAGTGATTGATATGCTGTTAATAAATATCCACTTTCACAAGTGACTATTACACTAACAATAATGATGATAAACTAGTTTTTTGCTTTTGATTTTAAGGTAATTAAGATATCTTTTTTTCCCTTCATCCCAATTTTGTTGATGACTTCTCACTTTAGCGCTTCACGTAATGTCGCGAGCTTGTATTCGCATTTTGTAGCATTAGTTTTATCTTCAATTAGCATGTGGTGACTCCAAGATGTGTTTCAAAGCACCCGAATATGGCAGATGCTCGATGAACCGCGACTGCGGTTGTCTTCACCTTGTAGATGGCTTCGGTCAAGCTGTTTGTGGTGACCTTAATGTCGAATGTTCTCAACTGAGCCCTTGTGGACCTCCACCCATTCGTTGCTCCAGACCTGGTGATAGGTGTGTGACATATTCGAAATGTAGCAATGTTCCTGTTTTCTATCTTTCGTCGATGACTGCGGAAGAAAAATGTCCATTTACGTTACCAGAAGCACGTAAGCATATAATCAGCTATTTGAAGAATATAGCAAAATATCTTGCTCACTTTCTACTGACGTAGTAGTTCTTTTTGCTAAATTTTCACTAATTCCTGATTAATTTGAGTTTGACTACTCTGGCGATACTAGGTGATGGAGTTTGTGCGGCTATGACATGGAATTGAGCGACAACATGAGCTACCCAGATCGATGATTTCGGCCTCCCAAAATGATCGGACTTCACTGAAACCCGTAGGAAAGATGAGGAAGCAATCATCGTATTCAGCAGAAAAATAGCGGAAATCGCTGGAACATGGAAGCAGTATTCTGGACGGAAAGTTTTCGGATTTTTTCCGATGATTTACGGTCTAGTGTGTGGGTGTGGGGTGTGAGCGTGGCTGTGGATGTGCGTGGGTGGGGTGTGGGTTGAATTAAGAACAACACACCCACATACACATCCAGACCCACACCCACGTCTGAGTATAAAAATGCTATTTGGTTGTATTTAAATTGAATAATGTTGGAAAAAATACTGTGGACTAGAGATAGCTGAATGATGCCTCAAAGTGTATATTTATGGGCATCTTTGTGACCCTATCTAGTTTTTCATGACAAGAGATGAGATCAAATATTTTGTTCCATTTAGAGTCGTAAGACTCAAACCGGGTGCGTCCTTTTTCGTCCCCGATCTTCCGGACATCCTGACAAATGACCGGGCGTTCGAAATCGGGCTATAGAACATCAAATTATTTTTCTGGATGTTCAGAATGAGTTTCAGTGTCTGTTTTTTAATATAGAAGAGAACTCATTCAATAGTACATTTTATGTCATTGAGTGCAGCAACCTCTCCTTGTATACTGAGTTAAAGTTTTTTAGAGTAGTGGAGAGTACAGCAGTAAATGATAGATCTTACAGATAGATAGTGTGAGTGAGTAGTAAAAATAAATAGTCCTCTATTGTGCAGAGGTTAGCATCTCGAACATGATTGGCTAAGATGGTGATTCGCATAATACAATGAAGTGGTTTGCCGGTTCACGTAATGATCATAAGATCCCAAACAGACTAGTGAAGTGAATTAACGTTAAAGTTGAATTAAGTAATGGAATTGATGCATTAAGAGTTAAATCGTCTCTCCTTTTATTTTCTGCACATGAGATAACGAATGAGAGAAAAAGCAAAATAGATGCCCACACTCCGTCCTCTTCATTCAAGCACATGCAATACAGATAAGAAACAAAGAGTGTCAACTAAAATTGTCAATCTTTTCTTTTTTTTTTCTCTTTTAAATATGTGTGCGTCCTCTTCTGTACGATTAATCCTTTATTCCCTTCTCTAGTCAAAACGTTACAGTTGCCTTTCAATATATTTAAACAATTTAAATAAATGTATGTTTGAAATGTTAAGAAATAAAAACAAATAATTCTATTAAATCGAAAGTTTACTTCGATGATTTGTAAGAATAAATGACAAAATAAAATTGAATATTAACAATGATCGAATCAAATCATTCTTTATTATTCATTTCGAATATTTTTTTTCTTATTTAATAACAAGAAAATTCATTTTGTTTATTTTAGATATTTAAAAAAAATAAAAAATTTTGACTTTTTCGTTCTGAATGTCAAAATGTGAATTTAAACAAAAAAGAAAAAATAAATTTTAAAATAAAACAAATTCTTCCTATTATTGAATTATTTTTTGTTTTGCTTTACATAATCATATTTTAAAATTTCTCTTTTTAATCTTGAAATTATTTTTATCGAAAAATCATTTCAAATGATGTTAATAAAAATACACTAAAATTCTTTATCAAAAAAAAAAATTTTTTTCGTTAGACAAAAACAACAAAAGCATTTGTTAATTAAAAATATGAGAATGATTTTTTTATTAAACAAGGTATTTTCATTTTAATACTTATTATATTAAAAATTTATTTTATCATTTAATTAAAATTTTATATTTCTCTTAAACGTAAGAGAAGATCGGAATGTAGAATATATTAACTATTAAAGAATGAATAAATATTTTTATTCATCAACTATGGCTAATTCCCTCTAATGTTGTTTATATTAACATGAATTAATATTATACTAAAGCATTCAAGTGATGTTGTAAAATTTGAGTTAAAATTCCTCGACGTTTCAAATCTTGTGGTAAAACATGAGTATTGCAATCATGAAGCCAAAAATAGACTCCTTTACGCTTGTTACATTTATCTACATCAGTGAAATATATTACATTTTGATTTGAAATTAATTTCAGTTGAATAATATCACTTGGTGATTTTTCACTCCAATGTACATGTAAAATAGATTGTTGATTTTCATTCATAATTTTATCAATATTTGTCTGTACTTGTTTCAAAATAATTGTTTTCGGATATCTCTGTAGTGTTCTATAATACATCACACTAGATGTTAATGAGGGATCTAATATTGGATTGAATGCAATTGAAAGTGTAGCAAGATCGCTACACATACAAACCATACTTGCTCCCATTGAAGCTCCAATTAGTATAACATGCTTATATAATTTAGAATATTTTTGTATTAAAGATCGATAATATTTCAATCCTTGCCATGAATAGGTTGAATCTTGCAAATAAAATGATTGAGCAGGATCAGTTAAAAATAATGTGTCCGCTTGTAAATTAAA